AAATTCATATTTACTGAAAGTACTAAGTAGTACAATCAACTACAGCACGATCAACTACAAATTGTATTATTAAAATTATATCCCAATGTGGCTATTTTAGACAATTTTCATTAGATGGAGCCTAATTTTTTTAAGATAACTTTGATGTATCAACAATGATTTTAAGTAAAAAATTAATTGAATAAAAGCCATTACAATTTTAATAAATAATTTATTATTGGTTACTTTTACGTATTTTTTTTTTTTTTTGTTTAAAAACCACAAAATATATATCATAATTTATTATTATGTGTACAATTATTATTATTAAATTCAAAAAAATTCAACGGCAAAAAGCTAAACGGGAGACGTGGGAAGGTCACCTCATTACAGCACGGGCCTGATCAGTCCTCTCAGTTGCCTAGGCAAGGGGCAAACACATTGCACCCACTATCCACCGCGGTACTGCACCTTTTGGCTACTTCCCAAACCTCCACGAGAATATCATGTCAACTGGTTGTATATATACTTTACGTTTTACTGGAACTGTAACATGGTAGATTTGATGATCACCAGTTCTACAATTAACGATGATTGACAGCTCTACCGAACCGCTAGATGTCATTGTACTATAATTTTTCTTATATAGTATATACTTACCTTTTATCTCGTTATCAAATCAATGACATATTGACATTTTATCGTATACGGATAATATTGAAGACGAATTCAATATATTGAAACATTAGTGCCCACATATTTTATAATTATATACCATTTGAAAATTATCATAGTTTATAAAATCGTATATAAAAATGACTTCTTCCGAAAAAAATGAGAGACGAATTTTAAAATGTATTCAAATTTATCATGATCGTCCAGCATTATGAAAAGTAAAATGTGACGATTACACGAAAATAATAAAGAAAAAATCACGAGTATAATGTGACATGGCAAGAGCAATAGCAATGATCGCGTTCTCTTCGCTAGACATTTTGAACGAAACTTGACAATTTATTGATGAATATTATTGATCGTGTGTGTGCCAAAAAAATTGAAACATTTATTGATATAAATATCTATTGATCAATGTCGTGTATAGAGATTAGAGGCATAAGCCGCTTAAATCGTCTTCTGAATCACGACCAAAACACGTCCGATTTCACGCACAACCCACCTACTTGACATACTGGTAACGTTGTAGTACGCCGCCAACTGTCGCATAGTGGGGGGAAACGCTGCGCGAAACGGTTTACTTCTCTCGTGGCCCGATGTATAATATGAATGATTTTCTATATTAAAAAATATGAAACAATTGAAATTTGAAATATAATACATATTTTACGTATATAATAAAGCAATAGTAAATAAATGCAAAGACTTGAGCCTAGTTTTTATTCCAAAATTTGGTACTTACTATGATTTTGAAAAAACATTTCATCAAGCAATCGATGAAGTTTGGTATTCATTGCAAATAATTGGTTGTCGTGTTCATCTGACACAATTGGTATGTATAAATGTTCAAAAATATAGATAGTTTAGGCAGTTTAGCAACTGAATACCAAAATATAAATTTATATAAATTTATAACAATGTGTTTTATTTAATTTACGTTGAAAATTTATGATTACGAAAAGAAAACTAAAGGGGGAAAAAAATACGATTTTGAAATCTGTAAATATTTATCGTGTACCTATAATAATTTGTTTTGTTTTATTTTATTTTTTCAGTCATGTTTTTAAAAACAAAGTAATCCATTAAATAGTATTTAAAACAATGTTATTTTATTTATCCTATACTCTTCGCAAAAAAATTTAGTTAATGATAAAAATGCTTACTATTTAGTATTTATAAAAGATTAATGTAAGTACCTACTGCAGACAATACGTATACAGAGAAGAATGAATATAAAAAATATAAAAGATCATATCGATGTTATAAAAAACACCTATTGAGGTAAGTTATTATTAATAATATATTTCAGCAATATTTACAGTACACGAAACTAAACATATATATATTTTAAACCTATTCTACATTTTTCAGTCCGTTTTCCAATTACGTGCATACATAGGTATACAATATACATACGTTATTAATAAATCATATAAAACATTTTAAAACCAATCTGAACTTACGGTCTTCAACTGTGGGTTGCAGCAAAGAAATCGAATCTAAATAAAATTCTAACTAACCAAAATATCAAGTATGTTGAATTAATTTACCAAAACTCATATTATTTTGGTATACAGTTGTTAAACCATATTTTGAACATTTATACACCAACTGAGTCAGGTGAACACGCTAATCAATTATTTGCAATGAATAGGTACCAAACATTATCGATTGATAAATTAATTGTATTTTCAAAATCAATAGTCACAAATTTTGGAATAAAAACTAAGCCCGACTGCCCAAATCTTAGCAATTATTCACAATTGCTTTACGCGCGTATAATATGTATTTTGTATTATTACGTTTCATATTTTTTAATATAGAAACTTTAAATTATACTCCGGCCCACAAGAGAAGTAAACCGCTTCGCGCACCGTTTCCCACCATTATGTGACAGTCACTACAATGTTACCAGTACGTCGAGTAGGGAGGGATGCATGAAATCGGACGTGTATCTCAATAAATCATAGAAAAATTATAGTACAATGACATCTAGCGGTTCGGTAGAACTGTCAATCATCGTTAATTGTAGAACTGGCGATCATTAAATCTACCATGTTACAGCTCCAGTAAAACGTAAAGTATATATACAATCAGTTGACAGAATATTCTCGTGGAGGTTTGGGAAGTAGCCAAAAGGTGCAGTACCGCGGTGGATAGTGGGTGCAATGTGTTTGCCCCTTGCCTAGGCAACTGAGAGGACTGATCAGGCCCGTGCTGTAATGAGGTGACCTTCCCACGCCTCCCGTTTAGCTTTTTGCCGTTGAATTTTTTTGAATTTAATAATTGTACACATAATAATAAATTATGATATATATTTTGTGGTTTTAATGGATTTTCACAAACAAAAAAAAAAAAAAAATACGTAAAAGTAACCAATAATAAATTATTTATTAAAATTGTAATGGCTTTTATTCAATTAATTTTTTAC